AACTGCAAATTAAGTTGGCGAGTTTTTATTTAACAATCCAGAGATCGTACCCGAAGGATTCAGAAAATCATCGAGGTTGATTTAGTGAAATCGTAATAATATGTACATATGATTTCTTGTGTTGTTGCAAGGGCTCCAACATCTAAGATTTTGGGGTCCTTATATTTGTTATTACAAATCTTTCTATTAGTGCGTTCGGGTATCCGGTTTTGTATAGTACTCGTATGTTTCTAGTTTTTCCTTGTGTTCGTTTCTGAACTGCTGGTTCCACAGCACATGTTTTTCCTTATAGGTTCATGGCACTGTTTTTTTCTTTTGATTCCATGAATGATTGGAATTAAAGTTTGTCATCCTGGATGAGAACACAGCTTTTGAATACCAGTTGAATCTAATCTGCTTCTTTTCCCGGTAAATTTTAACATCCAGGACGGCCAACTTCTTATTAGTTTTCTCTTCCGTAGTTAATTTAATTATAACATATATCTCATATACGTATTTGTTTATGTATTTTCTATGTAAGCCTTTATGTCTCCGTTCAGCATGCTATCGTCAAGTATTTTATCTATAATAATGTCAGCTACAGTTTGAGGCTGAGATTTCCCCGTTGGTAAACGTATTCCATATATCTGCTGACAGTGTGTTCCATCTTTAACGAAATAATTATTACTTCTCAAACAAAACTCAAGAATAGAAAGAAATTCTTTTTTCGTTTTTTAGTTTTACAGAATTGTACTAACTGCAGATTGAGTTGGCATATTAGTAAATGGGGATAACACGTCAAATGATGTTATTAGAATTGTTGTTAAGCTAAATGCTTTTGTTGTATTGTTCTGATACCATATTTTTTAATATTTTTCCTATATATTTTTCCAGTTTATTGCACGGTATGTTCAGAGATGGGAAGTTTATTTGTCACTTGAAGGTCCTTTCGTTTTCTTTTTGTAATTCGATTGGTATATCATAACAGCTTTGTTAGCTTTGTCTGCATTTGTGACGACTATAGAATCCTAAAGATTTTTTAGAATGTTTTGTGTTTGATAGTATATTTTAAGTATGGACATTTCTTTTAGATTACTTTTTTTTATTTATTCTTATATTTGTTGATTTTCCCGCAATATTACATCTCACCGTATCTTTCTGTCTGTCATCTTTGCCTTGTTTAATATCTGCGATCTCTTGTATAGGTGAGAAGGTTCCCCTTGAGACTTCTTTCTTAGGGACAATAACCAGCGGCAGTCCTTGGACACATCAATTCTTTTTTTTTGTTAATAAACCACTCACAATCTGCAAAAGATTACAAAAGTTCGTTTTCTTGCACTACGACATCACAGTATATTACATAGACCCCCGCTTAATACACCAGCGAATAAGGAAGGATGTCTCAAATCAGGCGACGTCAACACAAGCTTTTCAAGCTAATCTACAGTCTAAATCTTAAATTATTAGTTCAAATTCTATAAGCAAAGCTACAAATGCTTTTTCTTCAGCTGTACTGGAACCGCAATCGTTCATATTTGTCACATGGGCACCATCTTTTTATAGAAATTACCACGTTTGTGTTACCACAAATCGGCGGTAGGGTAGATTATAACTATAGACGATTAAATTTTAAGATATTTGCTTAAAGTTCCTTTAGCTGATTCTAAGTTCTTTCAAAGTGGAACGTTCCAACTGTTTATAGGAGTGGATTTTCATATTCAACAGTTATTCTGGATGGAGTGAAGCGCAGTTCGCACAATACTCTTCTATTCCAGGAGACCATGTTTGGGTGCATTGTTACAGGGACATCTTCCACTGCTTTACTATCAAAGTCTGTGTAGGAGAGGATACTTCTTTAGATATACAATTTCGCAAAATCTGGGAGTTGAAGGAGCCCCCCAAGAGGAGTCTGCAGTCGGCGGAGGACTTGTTTTGCGAAGATATTTACACTTTACGAAAACCACTCGAAATTCTTATGGGAGATAGATAGTATCATTACCTTTCAAATGCTTTTATCCGATGGATTTGAAACTAGAATCACCCCATCATACAGCTTTACTGCAATTTGTTCGCAATGAAGCAAGGTTGCTCTAAAACTCTTCACTGAAGACTGGGTATGACTCGGTACTTACAGAGTACTAGTTATTAGGTCATGACGAAAAGGTGGTACCGCCACAATAAGAACAACTTCCAAAACATTTATATTTGACACATCATGCAGTTCTAAAACCAGAAAGCATTTCAACGAAGCTTGGGCTAGTATTCAATGCATCTATCAATTCATCTAATGCCGTTTGTCTTAATGGCATTTTGCACACAGGCCCAGCTTTACAAGCTGCCTTTACACTTCTCCTCATACGTTGACGGTTGTATAAGTAGATTTTTGGTTCAGACAGCGAAAAAATGCATCGCCAAATATTGGTTAATCCTACCCACATTCTATACCAAACAGTTCTTTTTAGACAGTCTACAGGCATTGAGATTTATGATTATCAATTACATACGTTTATTTTGGCGATTAGGATACTCTTAGAATTAGCACAAGATACTCAGGAATCTTCTCCGTTAGCAGCTCAAGTTCTTCGGAATTCAATGTATGTAGCTATGACATCTAAACAGCTATACAATCAACAGATCAGCTGATGACGGCAGGTTGAAGAGAAGTGTGACGTAATATTTGACGAATCGCAATGTGTAGAAGGTTCTAGGCGCGAGGAAGTCGGTTTCAATTTCAAAGACAACATGCAGGCATCAAGTAGGGTTAACACTGGCGGCGACGGCACAATCATCGTTCTTGAAAGTTATATTTCGATATAACCACACATATAAAATACATAAATAAATATGCATATGATATATTTGTTATAATTAAGAAAACGGACGTGGCGTCATACTAGAAACATCTAACGCACAGCATACAAAACTTAAATTCACTACGGAAGAAGAAACTAATAAGATGTTGGTTTTCCTAGAAATGAAGTAGATTAAATTCTGGCACTGGTACTCAAAAGCTGTGTCCAGGATGATAAACCTTCATTGCAATCATGCATGGATGCAAAAGAACGAAAACAAAGAACGCACTAATAGAAACAATTCACATAAAAGAAGGCGTCAGCATCAATGTAAAAACTAAAAACGAAAACAAAACATTCACTGACATAACATACTTACCAGGTTAAACGGACAACAAATCGCTAAGAGAAGATACAAACAACAAAACAATAACTTTTGCGTACCGACCATAACGCGCACTCAACACAATCTTTAGCAAAACGAAAGACAGTATACATATATAAAGAACAACAACGCGATGTGATATACAAAATAAAGTGCAATGGTGAAACGACGAACAAGGCAATAAAGTCTATATAGGAACAACAAAGTGAGCGCTAGGTGTTAGCATAGGCAAACATAAGGCGGACACGAAGAATAAAAAGGGAAGAACTACCTTAGCCCAACACCTTTCCCAAAGCAACCACACAAGAGACTTCAGCAATGCGAAAATAATAGACAATCAGAAGAGAACGAAGAGCAGAATGATATTAGAAAGAAGACTTAGACAACATAAATTGCGAATACACAGCGATCGGAACGAATGAGAAAATGAAATCTGATACGTAGGATAATTGTATTTATTACACTGTAAGTAATCAGCCAAGATAAAATGAACACTTGTATTATTTATTATTTATCTGAATTTGTTTCTGTTAAGGTATGACAAAAGATTTTTATGTAGCTGTATACTGTTTGTAAATAATGTTCTTCCCTGAGGAAGACAAAAAATTGTATCCAAACTCGTAGGAGACAAAAAAGGAAAACAAAAGCATTTACTTTTTTAAAGGCCGAAAAGTTCATTGGCCAAAAATACAAACCAATATTATTTTTCGGCTGCTTTGAAAATCGGTACATAGGTGGCTTTCTGACTGACCTATTAAAAAAAACTTATTTATGGTTTCATTTACTTGAAAATCGGTGAATAAGTGGCTTTTTGCTTAGATGAGCAGGTAAACTAGGGCGAGTTCCTAAACGTCACAGTTGCAAAACCTCATCACAACAATGCAACCCAGCATTCTATACATATGCTTTGCAGCAATACTTTGCAAGCTCTGACATTATGGAACGCTTTTCGGGCAAATAAGTTGCATTTCGGCGAAATGGCTAAAATATAAAACAGATAAAAAAATATATAATATAATGTTTAAAAAAATATTAACGCAAAAAAACTTGCTCTCCGACGTCGGATGTTGTTACTGAGAATTTATGATAAAATAAAGTATCACAAACCTTAGCGATGCGCAGTTCGCTATCGTCTGCGCATTAATAACCCTATCGATAATTTTGAGACATGATACATCGTCAACAGTTGCATTTAGGAGTTGCATTTAGGAATGCGTGACAATGTATGGTTACCTTGCAACTGACGTCTTGGAATTCATTTCTACTCTTCTTTCCGGGAAATAAACCAATGTCAACGGTAAAACTGAAAATATTGTATTGAGTAAATAAAGTTGTGATAAAAAGATGTCCCGGTAATTTTTCTTTCATTCAATGAGTGTTTGCGACGGCGAAGCGTTGCAGAGTACAGCTACAAGTAGTCTTTTTTATAAATAGCTTAGCAACGTAATATTTTTACTTTTAGTTTGAATAATATGAATGAAATCTATTTATTAGTTTAAAAGTAAATATATATAGCTTGTTACATCAAAATTATTTAAATTTTTGGTTTTATAAATTAAAATTCATTAGGGATTTTACGTTTGAATGTCTTAAAGTGTGATGTCAATTCTTCTTATACTTATCGCCCTTTATTTTATAAATAGTCCTATGTAAGGGTTCCAAATAATTGTTCTTTTAATAGCATTTTTATTTACACATACATATCTAAGTGTGCTGCAACACTTATACAATATTTGTTAATGTATCCCTGTAGTCAGATATATTTGGCAAATCTTTGTGTGTCTTTGAGCAACCCACTTGTGTATATTAGAGTAAAATTTAACATTTGCGTTTGTATAACCTACCCCGCTAACAAGACTCTCAGCCGGACCGTTGACGTCTGCTAAAGTTGATGAAGGACGTGGGTTACCTGTTTTTGCTCGTATTGCATGATTGAAGCCACGAATACCATTTACTGTAATTTAATTAAATATATTTGATTAAATATATACACTTTTTCGTTATTGCACATATTTTTAAATTCAGTGCTGTAATGGTTATTGAATAGTTAACACATATATAGATATATGTAAAACTGTCAGTGCTATTATGGTTAATATACAGTGAACATACACGTATATATATAACTTTAATCGATTAGTACATAAAGAAATAAGGAATTTAGTTTTATGTTAACGATATGAACGATTTGTCTTATTTCGTAAGTCTCGATTTTATAGGGAATATTTGTCTAAAATCTCTATTAAGCAATACCAATGCGTTCGAAGTGGCTGAAGGGCACTGAGCAGGCACAAACGGTGTTTAAGCGTGGATTGACGACCATGAAGGTTTTGTTGTGTGTTTGGTGGGATTGGGGAAACTCGTACTTGCACCCTTCAGTAATTAAATCGTCTCTGGAGTTTTGCGTCAATTGCGGTCGTATGCGGAGTGAAGGAGTGCAGGCTGTCTAGTGTTACTCCCAATATTTTTGGGTTATTTACCGTCGGAATTTTTGTGTCATCGACCTTCACATATAGTTCAAGTCTGTATTCCTTCGTCCAGCTGGTGAAGAGGGTAGCCGAGGATTTTGTCGGTTGATTTCGTAGTTGTCTTGCAGTGAAGAAGTGGGAGAGTTCAGCGACGTAGCCGCTTACTTTCGAGCAGAGGTCATCAATATCCTGGCCAAACGCCATTATCGTACAGTCATCGGCATACGAGGTTAGGGAAACTCCTTCTGGTGGAGGAGGGAGTTTCGAGATGTAAAAGTTAAACGGTAGCGGGGAGAGGACACTATTCTGCGGAACCCCCTGTTTAATTTTTCTGGGTTTAGATGTTACACCTCGGAATATTACCGATGATTGTCTACCACTCAGGTAGCCCATGACCCACCTCCGCAACCCCGGCGGTAATGAGGATTCCTCAATGTCCGTTAGTAGCACTGAGTGATTGACTGTGTCAAAAGCTTTTGACAAGTCCAGTGCTACTAGGACAGTTCGCGCCCAGGGTCGGTTTTGGTTAAGGCAATGGACTATCAGGGTGTTTATGGCGTTAAGTGCTGTTGAGGTGCTGTGCACTTTTCGGAAGCCATGCTGATGCGCTGCTGGACGCAGATGGTGAGTGAAGGTCGGGAGCAGTAAGGCCTCAAGTGTCTTCGCTACTGGGGAGAGGAGAGTTATCGGCCGATAGGTCTCTCCTTTGTTGGCTGGTTTCCCCGGCTAGCGGGACCACCCTAATAATTTTCCACACATCGGGTATCTTCAGGGTGGTCAGAGACAAATTGAGGACCCTCGTGAGAAATTCTGCTCCCGCTGGTCCAAGGTGTTTCAGCATCAGCATGCTTCTTCCGTCGGGGCCAATGGATTTGGAGGCTTTCGCCCTCCCGATGACCCCCTGAACCTCCTCCCTGGAGAAATCAATCACCGCGCTGGTGTTTGGCAGTTTGCGTATACGGCGGGTTACCCTTCGTTTCGCTTTGTTTACCGATAGATGTAGTGTGAAAAGTCGGCTAAAATAGCTCGCGCATCTCTTCGGGTCCGACGAGGCGCGATCACCGAAAGAAATTTCCACTCGGTCATCGCGTCTCATCGGGCTAGTCAGCGACTTGACTGTAGCCCAGAGCTTGGTTGCGGAGGTTGCAGGTCCTTAGGTGCTCCTCCCACTTTTTCCGCTTATGATTGTTAACAACTCTTCGAATCCCAGCGTTTGAATCCCTGATTAAGGGAATCCTGGGATCGAAGCTTCGGAGGGTGTCGCGCCTGGATGCTAATACCGTCGCTTCTGTCGGAAAATTTAGACGCATTTCCGCACTGCGGCCTGCCGGGAGACTGAAGGCGTTCTCAGTAAATTCCGTGAATCCGGGCCAGTTAGCTTTTTTAAAGTTAACAAATATCCGGTGATCCGCGGAAACAAAGTCGGGAGGCCTGTCAATCGAGATTTGTATGGGCAAGTGGTCCGATGCTAACGTCAGTATAGGTCGCCAGACTATACTGTTTATCAGACCAGCACTCGACATTCTTATGTCTGGCGAGCTTTGGCAATTACCCATAACTCTGGTGGGAGTGTTGTCGTTCATTGTGCAGAATGTCGAATCGTCTATCTGTTCCGCCAGCTCCATTCCTCTACGGTCGTTTGACAGGTTAGAATGCCAAAGATCGTGATGCGCGTTAAAGTCGCCCAAAACCAAACGGTTTTCACCCCTGATTAACGCACCAATATCAGGGGTGTGTCCTGCTGGGCAACTTGTAACTGGAAGAATGTATATATTGAATATTTCGAGCTCGACATAGCCTGACCGGATAGCTATGCCCTGACATTCTAGGGTAGTATCCCTGCGGTCGATGTCGCCATCAATGAGACGATACAGCACGTCGTTGTGCAGGATGAACGCTAAGCCCCCACCGTGGTCTCGCTCGCGATCCCTGCGGATTATGTTGTATCCGGCCCTGTTCAGAAGATCTGATCGGGCGTTCAACTTGGTTCCCAGGATCGCAGCAATTGACAGGTGCTCCCGGCTCATGTAGTCGCCTATCTCGTCAATCTTTCCCGGGAGTCCGTTGCAGTTAAATTGTAGGACCCGGGTCTGTCTCAGGGCAGCGTTCGTGATGCTCGGAGAGTTTGGTTATAGAAGTTCTTATACATCCGCCAAGTGATTACCATCTGTTCCTGTATATGGCGGAATAAAAGCCTGTGAAAATCGTTTGTCTTAATTTATCTTCAATAAGGACAAGAATTTCAATGAGAAAGGAATAATTGCATTCCCTTTAAAATGACATTAAGTTATCGAGCAAACGGTGCATTGACATAAAACCTGTATCTCTAACTATGGTAAATTATTCCTTAAATTTGATACAAAGCTATTGGGTTACTTATTGTCGATTAAATTACTACTTCTATTTTAATTGCAAATTCAATTTGTTTATATAAGAAAACCTATTCACGAAGTAATATCACAGAAATATCCCTTTATTGCACGGAAAATTCAGATGACAAAGGAAATACAATCAAAAATTAAAGACTTCTGCAAAGACTGATTTGTTAAAAATATTTTGCAGATCAATTGAAAATGTATTTATTGATGTATTATTAACTATTTTCTATGTGAAAATTTTGTTATAAAGACTGAATAATAATACTGCATGAGTGTTTGTTTATACGATCAACATCTTTAAGTTATAGAAAATTAAATGAAATAAAAAATTAAGGTAAGTTTTCTAATTACGGTCTCCCCTCGGCAGGGAAAATTAACCGCTCCGATTGTACTTCTGACATGAAAACCAAAAGCTCCTCATAAATAACCATCAGCCGTTCAGAGACGGCTTTAGTATGAATTTTAGGTCCCTCGATTTGTTGGAAAAACATCAAGACGCAAAACTACAAATTGTGGCAGGAGTTCGGTCGAAAATCGCTTCGGCGGTTTTTAACAAATTTGGTTTATTTTGGCACCAATGCTGTTGATTATCTGTGATCTGTGTGTATGACACCGGAGCGTTTGCTTACGTCCATACGGATTTGTTTTGGTATCAGTTCTGTTGCTTAGCTGTGGTCTATTTAGTCTAAGGGGTTCTTTAGTCGTTTGATAGGGTTTGACGCGACAGACGGAAGGACGCTAAGGCCAGTGTACGAGTTCTGCTAAGACGAACATCCAAAACTCATTTTTATAATTACGGTCGCTCGTCGACAGGTATTGCCAAGCCATCCGCGTCTATTTCTGAAATAAAATATAAAGCTCCTCATAAAAAGCAATTGGTCTTTCGGAGCCGGCTTTGTTGGAAAAACATCAAGATGCACACCATAAATTAGAAGAGGAGCTCGGCCGAAAATCACGAAAGCGTCAATCATAAACATATTGTTGCGAAAATGCGAGGCGAATGTCAAATGAAAGAGAGAAGCCGATAACTAGTACATTCTAGAAACGATAAAACAAGAACCTTCGATAGCGAGCAAATCGATGCTTCTACGCTTTCGTCTGCGAGCAGCCGACTGCTATATAAGGGGACACTCAGCTGCCAAGTTAAGCTAGTTACAAAGTGAGCTGGTTGGCGTTAACATCAGTGAAGTCGGAAAGTAAACGCGTTGGAGATTACATTTAAGTAGAGTATATGGTGAAAGTTTATGCAAGTGATTGTAGCTGGTAAAGTGCCTTGTAATTGAATTGTGTATTACGGAGTAAATAAAGGACATTGGATAAAATCTTTATTACGAAAGAAACTGCAAATTAAGTTGGCGAGTTTTATTTAACAATCCAGAGATCGTATCCGAAGGATTTAGAAAATCATCGAGGTTGATTTAGTAAAATCGTAACAATTGGTGTCAGAAGTGGGATTGTTAAATAAATCCCAAAGGATAATATTTGCAAAATGGTAAAGATTCAGGATTTAACGATACCTCCTCTCAAGAGGGAGTTGTCAAAGCGAGGATTGTCAACAACTGGAAATAAGGCAGAGCTGCAATCGAGATTGCGAGAAGCAATGGAATTTGAAGGCATCGACTTGAACCAGTACGAGTTCCATCGCGAGGATGAAGATGTATCCTTGAAGGACATTGACAAGGAAAGGGCTGATGGTTCTGTAAAGGAGTTGGAATCACCATCAAGTAAGATTCAAGAAAAGGCTCCTGGGTCACCTAAGGGTATTGACATGAACATTCTATTGACTGCGATTTCACAAAAGTTGGATGCACAGGAAGCCAGCATCTCACAAAATTTCGATGCACAGGACACAAAAATGAACGCCAGCATCACCAGCATCTCACAAAAGATGGATGCACAGAATGCCAGCATCTCACAAAAGATGGATGCACAAATGCTTGAACAGAAAGAGCTGATATCATCTTTGGAAGGAACAATAGCGCATATACAGCAAAATCTGGTGAGGAACAGCGCGGAACTTAAGGAAAGGCAAGAGGTCAACGCATTGAAAAGTCGTTTCCGGGAATTGCAGTTAAATCGTCCAACCGCTTCAATGAACGCTCCGAAGG